TAGAATAGAATAGAATAGAATAGAATAGAATAGAATAGAATAGAATAACAGAGAATAACAGAGTTGGAAGGGACCTTGGAGGTCTTCTAGTCCAACCCCCTGCCCAGGCAGGAAACCCTACACCACTTCAGACAAGTGGTTATCAACATCTTCTTAAAAACTTCCAGTGTTGGAGCATTCGCAACTTCTGCAGGCAAGTTGTTCCACTGATGAATTGTTTTAACCGTCAGGAAATTTCTCCTTAGTTCTAGTTAATAGCTAGAAGGAGAATGCATACAAAAGCCTAAACTGGCCCCAAAGACATGGATATCGGCCACCCAGCATCATATCATCAACTTTATTGGCAAGGAATGACCAAAATATTCCAGGAAGAAAGCAGAAGATGGTTCTTTAAAACTGCAACAGCTACAGATTTTAAAATATCTCCACCATAGACTGGATGATGAGACGGCAAGATTGTGAAGACACGATTATAAATGTGTTTTTCAGGGCATGCATATGTGTGGTGCTCATCTGGATATGAGGCTGAACCTTACAATCACATGATTCTTTGCAAAGTTCACCCTGCTAGGAAATGTTGGGGATTAATTTTGACGGATGTAATCAAAATATGTTTATTCACTTAAACCTTGTTTCCTTCTCCCCACAAGAGGGCAGTAGAACCACAACCAGATACCAGCAAAGTTCTCTTAAGGGGGATATTGTAAAACAGGAATAAAGAATAATAGAGTAGAGTAGAGTAGGTAGGGTAGGGTAGGGTAGGGTAGAGTAGAGTAGAGTAGAGTAGTATTAGACCGAGGAATAGGAATAGGAATAGGAATAGGAATGGAATGGAATGGAATAGAATAGAATAGAATAGAATAGAATAGAATAGAATAGAATAGAATAGAATAGAATAGAATAGAATAGAATAGAATAGAATCAGGGGTGGGATTCTACCGATTCGGATCAGTTCAGGCAAACTGGTAGTTCTGATAATCAGCTGGGAGCGAACCAATTCACTGCAATGATCAGATGGGCTCACCCTCCTGCCCCTGGGCTTTACTGACCTATATCTTCTCAGCTGATTCACACAGTAGAGCTTATTGCTGCACCTCAGCTGTGTTACTCCCCAGCAGTAATGCAGAAGGTAAGTTTTCAAAAAAAATGTGCATGTGAGCGCAGTGCGCGTGAAGCGTGCGATCACCGAACCAGTTGTTAAACCAGCAGGATCCAACAGAACAGAACAGATCCAACAGAACAGAACAGAACAGAATTAGAATTAACAGAACAGAACAAACAGAACAGAACAGAACAGAACAGAACAGAACAGAATAGAATAGAATAGAATAGAATTAGAATTAGAATTAGAATTAACAGAGCAGAACAGAATAGAATTAGAATTAGAATTAACAGAACAGAACAGAATTAGAATGAACAGAACAGAACAGAATAGAATTAGTATTAGAATTAACAGGACAGAACAGAACAGAACAGAACAGAACAGAATTAGAATTAGAATTAGAATTAACAGAACAGAACAGAACAGAACAGAACAGAACAGAATAGAATGGTATTACACAGGTCCTAGGTTTTTTCCACAATCCTAACTACCCATCAAAGTCTGTTCCTGTCCTGTTTGGTTGCTGTACCAAACCAGACAGTTATAGAAGTACAACTGACAAGCTCAATAATGCCTCTGTAGAACTGTATCAGCAGATGCTTGGGCAGTCTCAACTTCCTGAGTTGACAAAGGAAGAACATTCTTTGTTATGCCTTTTTAATAATGGCTCTAATGTTAGATGTCCATTTCAAATTCTGGGAGAGTATAGAACCCAGAAACCTGAAGCTTGTGGCTCTTTTGCCTTCCTCTTGACTCCTCTGCCTCTCCGAGACTTCTCCCTGATAGGACCGACCAGAAATCTCGAGAAATGTTTGAGTGATGACTCCATTCCTTGATGTAGAAATAATAATCCTGCTATCTGAGGTCAAAAGCTCTGTCCTACACATTGGCAACAAAAATCAGAACACCAAATACAAGCTGGGCAGATACGACCTCATAGACAACCCTCATTCTGTCAAGGACTTTGGAGTACTCATCTCAAACGATCTAAGCCCCAGAGCTCACTGTAACAGCATTGCCAAAAAGGCATTAAGAATTGTTAACCTAATCTTGCGAAGCTTCTTCTCTGGTAACATTGTACTGCTAGCTAGGGCATACAAAACCTTTGCCAAGCCAGTTCTTGAATACAGCTCGTCTGCCTGGAATCCACATTTTATATCAGACATTAATACAATTGAGCGGGTCCAGAGGTATTTCACGAGAAGAGTCCTCCACTCCTCTGCTCACAATAGAATCCCTTATGCCACCAGGCTTGGAATTTTGGGCTTAGACAACCTGGAACTACGCTGCCTATGGTCTGACTTAAGCATAGTACACAAAATTGTCTGCTACAACGTCCTACCTGTCAATGACTACTTCAGCTTCAACCTCAACAATACACGGGCAAACAATATCTGCCTGGAAGCGGTATGGGCCTGGATGGGAAGAAACAGACTCAGACTCAACCCATCCAAGACTGAGTGGCTGTGGATACCGGCATCTCGTGATCTAGTGGCCCCATCACTTGTGATGGGAGGGGAGGTCCTTACTTCCTCAGAAAGGGTCTGCAATCTGGGGATCTTCCTGGATTCACAGCTATCTTTAGAAGATCATTTGACGGCCGTGACCAGGGGGGCCTTCACACAGGTACACCTGGTGCACCAGTTGCGCCCTTTCCTAGATTGGGATGCCCTTGCCACGGTCACCTATGCCCTTGTTACTTCTCAGTTGGACTACTGTAACGCCCTCTACATGGGGCTGCCCTTGGGATGCACCCGGAGGCTACAGCTAGTCCAGAATGGGACCGCACGGGTTGTTATGGGGGCTTCTCGGTACTCCCGTGTGACACCTCTCCTGTGCGAGCTGCACTGGCTACTGGTGGTTCTTTGGGTTCGTTTCAAGGTGCTGGTGCTCACCTATAAAGCCCTACATGGCTTAGGCCTGGGGTATCTGCAGGATCATCTCCTGCCATCCTCCCATCGTCCAGTGCGCTCACACAGAGCGGGCCTCCTCAGGGTGCCGTCAGCCAGACAATGTTGGCTGGCGGCCCCCAGGGGGAGGGTGTTCTCTGTGGGAGTGCCGACCCTCTGGAATGGGCTGTCCACCAGCCTCAGGCTGATCTCCTCTCCTTCCGCCGCGAATTGAAGATGTGGCTTTTCCACCAAATGGGCTGAATCCGTAGGGGTGATTTTTAATAATTTTAATTAAATTTTTAATTAATTTGAACTAATTTTAAATTGACTTTGATGTTTATGTAATTTTTTTTTTGTTCCTTCTTGTAAGCCACCCTGAGTCCTTCGGGAGAAGGGCGGCATATAAATTACATAAATAAATAAAATAAAATAAAATAAAATAAATAAATAAATCGATACAAACTCAAAGTAAACCACTCCAAACTCAACTGCAGAAAATACGACTTCAGCAACAGAGTGGTCAACGCCTGGAATGCTCTACCTGACTCCATTGTTACATCCTCAAACCCCCAAAACTTTAACCTTAAACTGTCTAACATGGACCTCACCCCATTCCTAAGAGGTACATAAAGGGGTGTGGGGGGGTGCATAAGCGCACCAGTGTGCCTACCGTCCCTGTCCTACTGTCCCCATTTATTTGTACTCATTCCTTATTCATATCCATATTTATACTTACACCTATTATCTAATACATGATTGACAAATTTAATAAAATAAAATTAAAATAAAATAAAATAAATAACAGGATGTAGAGCAATATCTTCGGGGTAGAGATATGACATCTAGGCATTATGGGAAGCAAGGGAAGGAGACTTGTTTTTGTTTTCCCTCGTTCCTATCAAGAGAAAAACATAGGATAATACAGGTAGTCCTCGATTTACGACAGCTCATTTAGTGACCGTTCAAAGTTACAACGGCACTGAAAAATGTGACTGCTGACCATCTTTCAAAGGTATGACCTTTGCCATATCCCCATGATCACGTGATCCAAATTCAGATGCTTGGCAACTGATTCACACTTATGACCATGGCTGTGTCCCGAGGTCATGTGATCCTCCCTTTTGCGACTTTCTGATGAGCAAAGTCCAGGGGGAAACCAGAGATTCACTTAACAACCAGGTTTACTCCTTCATCCACCGCAATGTTTCATTAGACCCCGATGGCAAGAAATGTCACCAAAGGGGGAAAACCCGCTTAGCCAATGTCTCACTTAACAACAGACATTTTTGGGTTCAATTGTCGTTGTAAGTCGAGAACTACCTGCTATGTCTGAATTTGAGCTTGACCTCTGGTGCTAAAAGGGAGGTAAGCGGGCTCCAGTTTTCTTGGCAAAGTTAGGAAAGACATTCCCTCTGTTTGCAGAATACTGTTTTTTGTTTGGTATTTAACTTATTTATTGACCGATAAAATGATCACACACATGTGAGGAGGGCAGAAAATGGGGGTGGGGGAAGGGGAGTCCAGCAGTCCCTTTTCAGGGGGCTGCTCAGGGAAGAAAGCTGAAGAAATCTTTGAGGAAGCTGTCGGGGTCGCAGATTTCGGATAACAATTCAGCCACGTCCAGGAATTCTGAGAAGGTCTCTGCGGGCCTGAACTCCTCCTAGAATGCAGAGTACTTATTTTACTTCCTAGTTAGGTTTAGTTTGTTCGGTTTGCTTGCTCAAGTGTGTGTGTGTGTATATGTGTGTGTGTGTGTGTGCGCACGCATTAAGACAAAGGTTCTACCTTCTGGGTTTGTGGTATGTTCCTCCTTTGATCTACGTGAGTCAAAGCGGAACTGAGCAGATCTTCAGTCCCTGGAAGGACTGAGCACAAGACTGTGTCGGCATTCTCCCTCTCCTGTGTTTCTGGGGACAGAGTTGTCCTGCCTGTTGCAGAGAAAGGAAGAAGGATGGGAGATCTGGGGAGCAGGATTGCTGCTTTGCTGTTGGCCATCTCCACAGGTATCCTTCTCCTCTAATTGCTTCATTTATTGATGGACATCATGTTTAGGCTAACTTTTTTATGACGCAAGGCCCCCTCAAAGTGGCCTTGGAGCTGATTTTTTTCAAAAGCCATCACAAAGAAAAGCAGCAAAAGAATCTAGCAGAAAACTAATTTCTTTAAATACTTCAGAGTGGAGTATTCATAGGATTGCAAAATTGTAATATTAATGGCTCCTTTGGAAATTTTAAAGGTTCAGCTAACTAAACTTATTGGTGGATTTCTTTCTTTCTTTCCTTCCTTCCTTCCTTCCTTCCTTCCTTCCTTCCTTCCTTCCTTCCTCCCTTCTTCCTTCCTTTCCTCCCTCCCTCCTCCCCCTTTCTTTCTTTTCTTTCTTTCTTTCTTTCTCTTTCTTTCTTTCCTCCCTTCCTCCCTCCTTTTTTCTTTTTCCTTCCTTTCTTTCTTTCTTTCCTCCCTCCCTCCTTTCTTTTCTCCCTCCCTCCAACCTTCCCTCCCTCCCTCCCTTCTTCCTTCCTTCCTCCCTTTCCTCCCTCCCTCCCTCCTTTCTTTTCTTTCTTTCTTTCTTTCTTTCTTTCTTTCTTCCCTCCCTCCCTCCCTCCAACCTTTCCTCCCTCCCTTCTTCCTTCCTTCCTTCCCTCCCTCCTTCCCTCCCTCCCTCTTTCTTTCTTTCTTTCCTCCCTCCCTCCCTTCAACCTTCCCTCCCTCCCTCCCTCCAACCTTCCCTCCCTCCCTTCTTCCTTCCTTCCCTCCCTCCCTCCAACCTTCCCTCCCTCCCTTCTTCCTTCCTTCCTTCCTTCCTTCCCTCCCTCCCTCCCTCCCTCCCTCTTTCTTTCTTTCTTTCTTTCTTTCTTTCTTTCTTTCTTTTTTCTTTTTTCTTTCTTTCTTCCCTCCCTCCCTCCCTTCTCCTTTCCTAACAATCTTCTTCTATTACAGTTGTATCGGGTCAAGCTAGAGTCACCCAGGAGCCCCAATTTCTTTCAGTTAAGGAAGGAGACTCCATCCGTTTGAATTGCTCCTATACGGAAACAGCTACTAGTCTTCAGTGGTACAAGCAATATCCAGGAGGCCAGCCAGAGTTCATCATGAACTTGTTTTCATCAAAGACTGAAACAAAGGGTAATATTGAGATGACCTGGACACAGTTAAGAAGACCACCTCTTTGCATCTGAAGAACACCCAACTTAAGGATTCAGCTGTCTATTTCTGCGCATGGAGCACAGTGCTTACAAAAGGCACCTGCTGGTTGTCACCAAAGGTGGAGGGCAACCAAGGAGAAGAAATTGAGCTCCCTACTGTGGGCCCTTCATTTAAATGAAAGACCAGATAGTGCTACCTTGCAAGGCTAATTTGGGTGAACAGGTCTGGGATCCCACCACAAATATCTTCTTGTTTGGGACCACCGAGCCAGTAAATGTTGGAAGTAGTTTCTCCATATTTCCAAGGTTGAACCTTAACTTTGTCAAACTCAAAATACTATCAGTTGCACATGATTGTATTTGGATGTGAAGTAGTATCGTTTGATCCATCTATAAAGATTCAACTGGAGATACTTAAGCATGAGAAAGTAGGGATTGTGAATATTGTATGGCAATTTCTTCTGTGGAAACTCACAATTCTTAAGTTTCAGCTAATTAAACCTGTTGGAAGAATTTTCCTCCCTCCCTTCCTCCCTCCCTCCCTGTGTTCCTTTCTTCTTCCATCATTTCTCCTAACATTTCCATTCCCATTCCAGTTGTATCTGGTCAAGCTACTGTCACCCAGGAGCACCAGTTTCTATCTGTTAAGGAAGGAGACTCCATCCTGCTGAAGTGCTATATCAGGAACGGAATATAATCTTCAGTGGTACAACAATATCCAGGAGCCCCACCAGAATTCATGATGTTACTGATTAGATCGGATGACTAAAGCAAAGGATAATTTTGAAATGAGTCTGGACACAGTTAAGAAGGCCACCTCTTTGTATCTGAAGGACACCCAACTAAGGTTTCAGCGTCTATTTCTGTGTCAGTGGAGCACAGTGGTAGAAAGGACACTTCCTGGCTGTCACCAAAGGTAGAAGACAACTGAGGAGAACTCGAGCTGCCTGCTGGGGTCCCTCTGAAAAAGCATCAGAAGAACCTCTTGAGCTGCAGCTTCATAAAAAACATCTGCTTATTTTTCATTTTTACATTTTCCCCCTAGTTGGTCCACATGCAGATGACTATCTACAAATTGCAGTAGAAAGCCGATGTCAGCCAGGAGGCCATCTTTGGTCCAGGGCTCGTCACTAGGCTGTCTTTAGTGCAGTAAATTAGTCATCATTTATTTTATATTGGGGGTTAATTTGGTCAATTATTTTTTTAAAATTTATTTTGATGTATATGCCACCTTCTCCGGAGACTCAGGGCGGCTTACAATGCGTTAGCAATAGCTTCATACTTTTGTATATTTATACAAAGTCAGCTTATTGCCCCCACAAACTGGGTCCTCAATTTACCTACCTTAGAAAGGATGGAAGGCTGAGTCAACCTTGAGCCTGGTGAGATTCGAACTTACAGTAATTGCAGACAGCTGGTGTTAATCACAATGCTATCAGTCTGCTGAGCCACCAGCAGACTTCATTGTCAATGCACAACATGTGTACAACGAGATTGGATGAGTAGCCCCCTCCCAAAACACAGAATACATCTAAATGACTCATAAGTGAAAGAAAAAAAAAATCTTAACCGAATAGATCACGCTAACAGACACACAATCCTTTATACATATATGTGCATAAATCACATTTATTATTATTCAACGGTGTAGACATGTTGCATGTTGTGCTGGCCCAGAAGTCTATCCTGCTAAGGAGTTACGGTGTTTTGTTGCATTAGAAGTCTGACAGTCCACGGAGAGAAGCTATTTTTCAGCCTGTTGATTCAACTGGCTATGCTTCTATATCTCCTGCCTGATGGTAGGAGAGTAAAGAAATGCTGACCAGGGTGTGAATCATCCCTAAGGATTTTCCTCACCCTGCTAAGACATCAAGTCCTAGCAATTTCTCTAGTGAGCTCAGGAGACAGCCCATGATATTTTGCACTGTTCTCATCACCCTTTGTAATGTCTTTCTTCGCGGCTGTCAAGACAGCATACCATAACATAATGTGAGGACGCTTTCTATTGTAGACTGATAGAAGTTCTGGTTCTGGTTCTGGTTATCACCTTTAAAGCACTCCATGGCTTAGGAACTGGTTATTTACGGGACCGCCTTGCTACCCCAATAGCCTCCACCGCCAGTACGCTCCCATAGAGAAGGGCTCCTCCGGGTGCGTCGGCCAAACAATGTCGGCTGTCGACCCCTAGGGGGAGAGCCTTCTCTCTGGGGACACCTACAATCTGGAACGAGCTCCCCCGGAGATACGTAGGATCCCGGATCTGCGCACCTTCTGCCGCGCGCTCAAGGACTTTTCTATTTCATCAAGCTGGCCTGGCCTAAATCTTCCCCTTTTTATAAATGTGGAAATTTTTAAATTTGTTTTTATTATAGGGGTCATGGGTAAGGCGTTTTTAAATTGGGGAGCCATTTTGGATTTAATTCTGTTTTAAACGTATTTTAAGGTTATATTGTATGTTTTTAATCTGGCTGTTCACCGCCCCAGTCCTTCGGGAGAGGGGGTGGTATAAAAAATCAAATAAATAAATAAATAAATAAATAAATAAATAAATAAATAAATAAATAAATAAATAAATAAATAATAGAAGGACATCATCAGTCGTCCTTGTTCCACCTTGATTTTCTGCAAAATCCTGAGGAAATGGAGTCTCTGTTGAGCCTTCTGGACCAGGGTCCCCAACCTTTTGGACCTTAGGGACCACTAAATTCATAATTTTAAAACCGGGGACCACTAATATGATCTGCCTAATGACTGGCTGGCTGGGCGTGCTAGGTGGTCATGTGACAGGGCAGGCGTGGCCAACTTGATGTCACTCACATTGAGGGATGCCTCTTCAACCTCTACTCACCCCTCCCCTCCCAGCCACTCCTCACCTGCCCACCTGGCTCCTGAGGCCCCAACAGGAAGCAGTTGTTGGACCTAATGCAGCCCCCACAAGAAAGAGTTGGCAAAACAGCTCAGTTCAAATTGGAACTGACCGAGAAGGAGGCTCGACAGAAGTACCTCACTGAGGACTACAAGCATAGGCAAGACCTGCAGGAGTGCAAGGCCAGGTACCGGTGCCCAGAGGCTCAGCAGGCTGAGATGGTCAGCCATTTCCAGGCCATGATGCAGTCCCACTGGAAAAAGGTCCTCTGGCTCTTTGCTACCAGTGGCGCTTCCCTCGGCCTTCACCCAAAGCCCCATACCAGGAGGCTGAAGCAGACCCCAAGTTGGAATTTCTGCCCCCCTCCGACCCGCACAAAAAGACCCCAAAGGGGAGAGACTCTCTGCAGCAACACAAGCATTCATTACACATATCCAGCACAGGGGCCATAGGTTGAGGACCCCTGATTTAGTGCAATATAAAAAAATGCAAATAATTTTTCTGGGACCAACAAAATTTTCTCGTGGACCACCAATGGTCCACGGACTATTAGTTGGTGACTGCTGTTCTGGACCACCTGGATCATATTATTTTTCCAGGTGAGCTCTTCACCAAGATGGACTCCCAGGAATTTGAAAGAGGAGACTCTCTCCCACACAGCCCCTCTTGATGTAAAATGGGGCAGGTTCTTCTCTCTTCTTCTGGAAGTCTAGCACCATCTCCTTGGTCTCCTTGCTGATGTTTAGCTGCAAGATGTTTCCTGAGCACCATGCCTTACCTTCTGGACCTCTTCCCGTATGCTAATTTGTCACCAATAAGACCCAGTACAGTAGTACTATCCGCAAACTTGATAATCACATTAGATGGGTCAGAAGATACACAATCATATGTGTACAATGAGTACAGGTAGGGACGGAGCACGCAGCCCTAGGGAGAGCCAGTGCTGAGCTTCAGGGAGGAGGATATAAAAGGCCCAGCCCTCACTGTTTGTGGCCGGTCCATCAGAAAGTCTTTAATCCAGAAACCTGATGTTACCCTAACATGGGCGATGGAATTAATAATCTAGTTGAAAGACGTCACAGAAGACACTATATGGATTATAAATTTAAAGTCATTTGAGGATTTTATTCATATATGGAAATATTTTTTAGTGGTGTGGTGTGGGCAGAAGAACAAAGATATTAAAAATATTATGTATGGTAGACCTGTAGGAAAATGGGTGGAGATAGGTTAGGTTATTGATTGTTTAGTTTAGGAAAAGGGATGTTATGTTCAGATATTAATATACGTAAAAGATTTGAATTAAGAGATATATGTATGGGGGAGGAAATGGGTAGATTATGAGTTGAGTAAATGTCAATTAGGATTTATTATATAGTTTTATAGCTGAAGGTTGCTTTGAAATGTATAATATAGGGGGGATATAATAACAATGTTAGAAAGAAATGGTTAGCATGTGGGGGGTGGTGTAAAAGTATTATATAATTTGATATCAATCTGGATTTTACTTTTGGAGAAGCCATGGGGGGTGGGGAGGGTGAGGGGGCGTTAGGAGGAGGAGGGGAAAAAAAGGGGGGAAAATCTGTATTTGAAAAACTTTTTCAATTAAAAAAAAAAGAAAGTCTTTAATCCAGTCACAGGTGAGAGAAGGAAAATTCAAGTCAGTCAACTTTTCAGTGAGGACGCTCGGCAGAACGGTGTTAAAAGTCTGTAATCTACGAAAAGCATTTTGACGTAGTTCCCAGGTTTCTCTAGATGACTCACTACAGAATGTAGGGCAGTGGCAGGGGTGAAATGCTACCGGTTCACACTGGTTCCAGCGAACTGGTAGCGGCGGTGACGGGTGGTTCCAGGAACCGGTAGCGCGGCAGCGCGAGGCTCCGCCCACCCACCCAGACGTCATTACTTCCTGGTTTTTAACCAGGAAGTAACCTATTTTTTACCCTCTGCGCATGTGCAGAAAGGTTTGCACATGCACAGAGGGTCCATGCGCTCACGTGACGAGCACTTGCACTTCCGAACAGGTAGGGAAGGTAAGTAGATTTCACCCCTGGGCAGTAGCTATGGCATCACCTTGTCGACCTATTCCCCCTGTAGGCAAACTGATATTGGTTGAGATTTGGTGGGAGGCGTAACCTAAGGTGTTGAAGAACCAATCTCCTGAAGAACTTCATTAGTACAGATGTTAGTACAATAGGTCTGTGGTTGTTCAGACTGTTAAGTGCTCTTTTCTTTGGGACTGGGATGATAGTGGCTGCTTTCAAGCATGATGGAACATTGGCTGTTTGCAAGGAAATGTTGAATTTTTTTTTTGTTAGGACCTCTGCTAATTGGTCGGCACAAGTTTTTACCACTATCCCCAGCACCCCATCTGGACCTGCAGTTTTACTAGAGTTCATGGCCTCCAATACAGCTCTCGCTTGGTGTACGTACAAGGTGAGTGGCTAGGAGTTGGAGGGCCGGCGGGCTGGGGCTACAAGGTCAGGTCTTTTCACCTCGTAGCGGGAGAAGCAGGGGTTCAATTCCTCTACCAATGAGGCGTCATAGTTAACTGTTTTTGTCATATTGCCCTTATAATTAGTTAGTTTCTGCAGTCCCTGCCACATTTGCTTCGGGTTGTTGTCTACAAGATGGTGAAGATCTATAGCCATAATAAGATTCTTTTCTCCTTCCTTCCTTCCTTCCTTCCTTCCTTCCTTCCTTCCTTCCTTCCTTCCTTCCTTCCTCCCTCCCTCCCTCCCTCCCTCCATCTTTCTTTCCTTCCTTCCTTCCTCCTCCCTCCTCCATCCCTCCTCTTTCTTTCTTTCCTCCCTCCCTCCCTCCTTTCCTTCCTGCCGTCCTCCCTCCCTCCCTCCCTCTTTCTTTCTTTCCTTCCTTCCTCCCTTTCTTCCTCCTTCCCTCTTTCCTTCCTTCCTTCCTTCCTTCCTGCCGTCCTGCCATCCTCCCTCCCTCCTCCCTCCCTCTTTCTTTCTTTCCTTCCTTCCTTCTTTCCTTCCTTCCTTCCTCTTCTTCCCACTTTCTGAATATTTCCATTCCCCTTCCAGTTGTATCAGGTCAAGCTACTGTCACCCAGGAGCACCAATTTCTATCTGTTAAGGAAGGAGACTCCATCCTGCTGAAGTGCTCCTATCAGGGAATGGAATACAGTCTTCAGTGGTTCAAGCAATATCCAGGGAGCCTGCCAGTATTCATGATGTTACTGGCTATATTGGAGACCAAAGCAAAGGATAATTTTGAAATGACTCTGGACCCAGTTAAGAAAACCACCTCTTTGTATCTGAAGAACACTCAACTTAAGGATTCAGCTGTCTATTTCTGTGCAGTGAAGCAGAGTGGTAGAAAGACACGTCCTGATATGAGGACATGCCATAAATGTGGTTTCCACGGAGTGTCTGTGTGGCGCTCATCTGGATACAAGGATGAACCTTACAGTCACACAATTCTTTGCAAAGTTCATCCTGGTAGGAAATATTGGGGATTACAGGCAAATGTTGATGTTTGTGTTTTTTTCCCCATCACTAAACCTGATCCTCTTCTCCCCACAAGAGGGCAGTGTAACCCACAAGCAGATACCAGCAAAGTTCTCTTAAGAGGAATGTTGTAAGAGTTTTAAGTGATTCTTTTGCTCTCCTCTCGATTCCTCTGGCTTTCTGACACTTCCCCCTGATAGGACAGTCAGAAATCTCGAGAAATTGTTGGAAGAAATATCCAGGTCCAGTTCCATGCTGGGAGAAAGGGACTGAAAATCAAATGGAGGCTGGAGGCTGATGGGAAAGAAAAGTTCCTTTTATTGTTGAAGCAGAACCACCAACCACGTGTGATTCTGGGCAGCTGACAAAATGGAGTTGAGAGTGGGTGTGTTTTTTATACCTTCTGTATTCCTATGGGGGTCATGTGGGGGTCATATCTGGCTCTATAGGCAAAAGCCCATGTAACACCTCTCCTACGCGAGCTGCACTGGCTCCGTGTGGTTTCCGGGTGCGATTCAAGGTATCACCTTTAAAGCGCTCCATGGCTTAGGACCTGGGTACCTACGAGACAGTCTTTTGCCACAATAGCCTCCCACCGACCAGTTCGTTCTCACAGGGAGGGACTACTCAGGGTACTGTCAGTCAAATTATGCCGACTGGCGACTCCCAGAGGGAGGGCCTTCTCTGTGGGGGCACCAACCCTTTGGAATGAACTGCCCCCGGAGATACGGAATATCCCTGATCTACGTGCTTTCCGCCATGCCCTCAAAACCCTCATGTTCCAACAGGCGGGGCTAAACATATAAAGATGTGAATGTTTTTAAAATGTTATCTAATTTTAGGTTCTATTTAATTGGGTCAAATTGTTATAATAATAATTTTAATTAGCAATTTTATGATGTTTCTGTATCTATATTTTTCTTGACTGTACACCGCCTTGAGTCCTATGGGAGAAAGGCGGTATAGAAATATAATAAATAAATAAATAAATAAATAAACAAACAAATAAATAAATAAATAAATAAATAGAGGAAATGAAAATCCTAGGTCTTTGTCTGAGCTAATCTTGTCCACCTTTTGTTTGTTGCTTATCTGGAGTATCTGGCTGACCCAGTCTTTATGAATGGATTACTCATAAAGTAATGAGCTGGCCTCCTCAATTTCTGCTTGGGGCAGGGAAACTGGGGCTGGTTTCTGCCTCCCTTAAGATTCCCCCCCCATTTATCCTTTAGGGGAAATATTTTATCCTGCCTTTTTGATATTTCCCAAAATATTTCATTCTTCTAGGAGGGGAGGACCTCCTACAAAAAATGTTTAAGTGATGACTCTGTTCCTTGATGTAGCAATCAGAACCCTAACATCAGGTACCAAAAGGATGGAGAACAACATTTTCCAAGTTGAGAAATGTCCCTTTGGCATTTTGGGATGCTAGCAAAGGATAGGTGGACTCTTCCAGATTTGTTTTCCACAATCCTATCAAAAGGATCAGGTAGGCGAATGAGCGTCAAAGAGGAAGCATCTTCTGTTTTCTTGGCAAAGTTAGAAAAAGTGATTTGCCAACACTTTCTCCACAATATTCCTATTTTATTTCCCATTCCCCACCATCCATTCAGAGTTGAAGAAGCTCCTTGGATGAGAAGTGAAATATCTTCAAATTAATACAAAGACTTTTGCTTCTCAGCCAAGAAGCTTCTTCAGCACTTGAGGGTGTTGGAAGAAATATCCAGTTCCAAGCCAGGAATAAAATAAAGGCTGATTAGAAAGGAAGGTTCTATTTATTGATGAACAGAACCAACACACACACACAGTATGCAGTTCTGGGACAGCTGGCAAAATGGAATTGAGAATGGGTGGGTTTTATACCTTCTTTGGGCTGCTTATTTGAGATTCCTGTTCCTGTGCAAGAACATGTCCTTTAGTATTGGCTGTTGTCAGATTCCTATGGTGTCATGGCTGGCTCTACAGGCAGAGGGGAAATGCAAATCCTAGGTGTTTTCTGAGCTAATCTTGTCGACCTTTCTCTTGCCTAATTGTATTGCTTTTCTGGAATATCTGTCTGACCCAGTCTTTCTGACTGGATTACCAAAATTTCTAAAAACTGGCCTCCTTAGTTTCTGCTTGGGGCAGGGAAAATGGGGCTGGTTTCTGCCTCCTTTAATATATCCACCCCCCATTTTTACTTTAGGGGAAATATTCTATCCTGCCTTTTTAATATTCCCCAAAACATTTCATTCTCTAGGAGGGTGTGTGTGTGGGTGCCGACTTTCTACAAGGGATCCCCATTGGATGCATCTCTGGTAATTTATCGCATTTCTTATTTAACAAATATCACTATTCTCATATGTGGTTGAAATATCGATATATATGTTTCTTACCATGAATTATTCCAGCTAGAAAACAGAATAACAGAAGAATTGGAATGGATCTTGAAGGTCTTCTAGTCCAACTCTCTGCTCAGGCAGGAGACCCTATACTATTCCAGACAAGTGGCTGTCCAGTCTCTTCTTAAAGGTCTCCATTGATGGAGCACCCACAACTTTTGGAGGTAAGTCATTCCATTGATTAATTGTTCTCTTTGTTAGGAACAAGAGATTATTTGTTCTCTTTGTTCTCCTTAGTTCTAGGTTGTTTCTCTCCTTGATTAATTTCCATCCATTGTTTCTTGTCCTGCCGTCAGGTGCTTTGGAGAGTATGTTGACCCTCCTCTTCTCTGTGGCAGCCCCTCAATATTGGAACACTGCTATAATGTCACCCCCAGTCCCTCTTTTCATTAGACTTCTTTTCACTAAAACACTGGCTTGTTTTGCTCAAGCGTGAGTGAAGACGAAAGCTTCTATCTTCTGGGTTTGTGGTATGTTCCTCCTTTGATCTACGTGAGCCAAAGCGGAGCTGAGAAGATCTTCAGTCCCCGGAAGGACTGAGCACAAGACGGTGCCTTCTCCCTTTCCTGTGTTTCTGGAGACAGAGTTGTTGTCCTGCCTGTTGCAGAGAAAGAAAGAAGGATGGGAGATCTGGGGAGCAGGATTGCTGCTTTGCTGTTGGCCATCTTCACAGGTATCCTTCTTCTCTAATTGCTTCGTGTATTGATGGAAATAATGTTTATCCTTACTTTTTTTTTTGTCTTTGAAACACAGCCTCTTCAAGGTGGTTTGGGAGCTGAATCTTTCAAAAGCCATAAAAAGAAAGTCAGCGAAACTTCATCCTCCTTCCTTCCTTCCTTCCTTCCTTCCTTCCTTCCTTCCTTCCTTCCTTCCTTCCACTCTCTCCTTCCTTCCTTTCTCTCTCTCTCCTTCCTTCCTTCTTCCTCTCATTCATTCATTCATTCATTCTTTATTTATTTTTTCTTTCTTTCTTTCTCTTTTTTCTTTCTTATTTCCAGCTTTCATTTCTTCTTCCTTCCTGCATGCTTGTTTGCCTGCCTTCCTTCCTTCCTTCCTTCCATTCATTCTTTTTCTCTCTCCTTCCTTCCTCCTTTCTTTCTCTCTCTCTCTTTCTTTCCTTCTTTCTTTTTCTTTCTTTTTTTCTCTTTTTTCTTTCTTATTTCCTTCTTTCATTCCTTTCTTCCTGCCTGCTTATCTACCTACCTTCCTCTTTCCTTCCTTTTTTTCTCTCTCTCTCTCCTTCCACCCTTCTTTCTCTTTCTTTCTTTCTTTCTTTCTTTCTTTCTTTCTTTCTTTCTTTCTTTCTTTCTTTCTTTCTTTTTCTTTCTTTTTTCTTTTGTTTCCTCCCTCCTCCCTCCCTTCCTTCACTTCCTCCCTTCCCCCTTTCTTAATAATCTTCTCCTATTACAGTTGTATCGGGTCAAGATAGAGTCACCCAGGAGCACCAATTTCTTTCAGTTAAGGAAGGAGACCCCATCCATTTGAAATGCTCCTATTTGGAAACAGCTACTAGTCTTCAGTGGTACAAGCAATATCCAGGAGCCCCACCAGAATTCATGATGTTACTGGCCATATCGGAGACCAAAGCAAAGGATAATTTCGAGATGACTCTGGACACAGTTAAGAAGACCACCTCTTTGTATCTGAAGAACACACAACTTAAGGATTCAGCTATCTATTTCTGTGCATGGAGCACAGTGCTACAAAGGCACCTGCTGGTTGTCACCAAAGGTGCAGGGCAACCAAGGAGAGGAAATTTAGCTCCCTATTCCCTTCATTTAAATCAGAGATCAGAATAACTTACCTTTCAAGGCTAATTTGGGAGAACAAGTCTGGGATCCCACCACAAATATCTTCTTGTTTGGGTCCACCGAGCCAGTAAATGTTGGACGTAGTTTGTTCCATAATTACCAAGGTTGAACCTTAACTTTGTCAAATGCAAAATACTCTCAGCTGCACATGACTTTATTTGGATGACTGTATTTGGATGTGAAGTAGTATATATTGTGATCCATCTATAAAAATTCAACTGGAGATACAAGCATGTAAAAGTAGGATTGTGAACATTGTATGGCAATTTCTTCTGTGGAAACTGTCAACTCTAAAGTTTCGGGTAACTAAACCTGTTGGGAGAATCCTCCTTCTTTCCTCCCTCCCTCCCTCCCTCCCTCCCCCCCTCCCCTCCCTCCCTCCTTCCTTCCTTCCTTCCTTCCTTCTTTCCTGAACATTTCCCTTCCATATTTAAAGTAGGATGGCAAACATCTATTGAATTTATTGAACAATTATTGAATAATAGTTGCTCTTTTGGAAATTCTAAAGGATCAGCTAAATATACTTGTTGGTGGATTCCTCCCTCCCTCCCTCTCTTCTTTCCTTCCTCCCTCCCTCCCTCCATTCCTTTCTTCCTCCATCATTTTTCCTAACATTTCCATTCCCCTTCCAGTTGTATCAGGTCAAGCTACTGTCACCCAGGAGCACCAATTTCTATCTGTTAAGGAAAGAGACTCCATCCTGCTGAAGTGCTCCTATCAGGGAAAGGAATACAGTCTTCAGTGGTACAAGCAATATCCAGGAGCCCCACCAGAATTCATGATGTTACTGGCCATATCGGAGACCAAAGCAAAGGATAATTTCGAGATGACTCTGGACACAGTTAAGAAGACCACCTCTTTGTATCTGAAGAACACACAACTTAAGGATTCAGCTGTCTATTTCTGTGCATGGAGCACAGTGTTACAAAGGCACCTGCTGGTTGTCACCAAAGGTGGAGGGCAACCAAGGAGAGGAAATTGAGGTCCCTACTCCCTTCATTTAAATGAAAGACTAGAATAAACTTACCTTTCAAGGCTAATTTGGGAGAAGAAGTCTGGGATCCCACCACAAATACCTTGTTGTTTTGGTCCACAAAGCCAGTAAATGTTGGACGTAGTTTTTTCCACAGTTATCAAGGTTGAACCTTAACTTTGTCAAACGCAAAATACTCTCAGCTGCACATGACTTTATTTGGCTGACTGTATTTGGATGTGAAGTAGTATATAGTGTGATCCATCTATAAAAATTCAACTGGAGATACAAGCATGTAAAAGTAGGATTGTGAACATTGTATGACAATTTCTTCTGTGGAAACTCTCAATTCTAAAGTTTCAGGTAACTAAACCTGTTTGGAAAATCTTCCTTCCTTCCTTCCTTCCTTCCTTCCTTCCTTCCTTCCTTCCTTCCTTCCCTCCCTCCCTCCCTCCCTCCCTCCCTCCCTCCCCCTCCCTCCTGTCTTCCTTCCTTCCTTCCTCCTTCCTTCCTTCCTTCCTTCCTTCCTTCCTTCCTTCCTTCCTTCCTTCTTTCTTTTTTCCTTCTTTCTTTTCTTTCTGAACATTTTCCTTCCATTCTAGCTGTGTAAGCTCAAACTACGGTCACCCGGAAGCACCAATTTCTATCTGTTAAGTACCTTATAATATAATGTAGGATGGCAAACATGTATTGAATTTATTGAACAATTATTGAATAATAGTTGCTCCTTTGGAAATTCTAAAGGATCAGCTAAATATATTTATCGGTGGATTCCTCCCTTCCTCCGTCGCTTCCTTCCTTCCTCCATTATTTTTCCTAACGTTTCCCTTCCCTTCCAGTTGTATCAGGTCAAGCTACTGTCACCCATGAGCACCAATTTCTATCTGTTAAGGAAGGAGACTCCATCCTGCTGAAGTGCTCCTATCAGGGAACGGTGTATAATCTTCAGTGGTACAAGCAATATCCAGGAGCCCCACCAGAATTCATGATGTTACTGACTGTATCGGAGACCAAAGCAAAGGATAATTTTGAAATGAGTCTGGACACAGTTAAGAAGACCATGTCTTTGTATCTGAAGAACATCCACTTTAAGGATTCAGCCGTCTATTTCTGTGCAGTGAAGCACAATGGTAGAAAGACACTTCCTGGCCGTCACCAAAGGTAGAAGACAACTGAGGAGAACTAGAGCTGCCTAGTGGTGTTCTTCTGTAAGAAACATCAGTAGAACCTCTTGAGCTGCAGCTTCACAAACAAACAGCTTCTTATTTTTCCACCTTATACATTTTCCCCCTAGTTGGCTCACATGTCAGTCATCTGCAAATTGCAGTAGAAAGCCCCAGACAATACTCTCAGCAAAAGATCCTGGTATTCTATTGAATGATGCTTTTGTCTATGTTGTTTTAGGATCCCTCATGGAGATCTTCTATAGTAAACCCTTGTGAGCGAGGGGGCGCTCCCATGTGACGCCTCTCCTGCGTGAGCTGCATTGGCTCCCGGTGGTCTTCCGGGTGCGCTTCAAGGTGTTGGTTACCACCTTTAAAGCGCTCCATGGCATTGGGCCTGGGTATTTGCGGGACAACCTTCTGCCGTCGATAGCCTCCCATCGGCCAGTACGGTCCCACAGAGAGGGACTCCTCAGGGTGCCGTCAGCCAGGCAGTGTCGGCTGGCGATCCCCAGGGGGAGGGCCTTCTCTGTGGCAGCACCTGCCCTCTGGAACGACTTGCCCCCAGAGATACGTATGATACCAGATCTCCGGGCTTTTCGCCGTGCCCTAAAAACCTTTCTTTTTCACCAAGCAGAGCTGGCGTAACCCCCCCTCCCTTTTTTTGAGATGTTAGATTTTTAATTCTCTATGGATTTTAGTCGGGATTTTAAATTTAGGCCAAAATTGTGTAATTCTTTTAACAAATTTTAAATTTTGTATTGGGATGTTTTTATTTTGGCTGTGCACCACCCTGAGTCCAGTAGGAGAAGGGCGGTATACAAATTTAATAAAATAAATAAATAAATAAATAAATCCTGGTCCTCTTTTGGATTCAGAGAGAAATTTGGGGAGCTGATGTATTCCCTCAGTCCTGTTTTTCCATGACTGTGAGCTCAACTCCCTGTGAACCCGTCTTCAGTCTGTCATTGTTTCCCAGGAATTTGGATTTAAGCAGTTTTAAACAGATAATTGGATGAACTCAAACATAAGTGATGCCTCTGTGGATTATTGAACCATGGGTTTTAGTAATTGATCACAAACCCCTTACTGTCCTCTCAACGAATCTTGACAGACTTGAACACTGGGTCCTATCTAACAAAATGAAATTCAATGTAGAGAAATGTAAAGTCTTACACTTAGGCAAGAAAAACCAAAAGTACACATATAAACTGGGTGAAACCAGGCTTAATAGCAGTCACTGTGAGAGGGATCTTGGAGTCTTCGTGGACAACCAGTTAAATATGAGCTAGCAGTGCGCAGTGGAAGCCAAAAAAGCCAACGCAATCCTAAATTGCATTAACAGAGGGTTACAATCAAGATCAAATGAGGTACTAATACTCCTCTATAAAGCCTTAGTAAGACCATACCTAGGGTACTGCATCCAGTTTTGGTCACCACACTATAAAAAAAAGATGTTGAGACTCTAGAAAGAGTGCAGAGAAGAGCAACCAAGATGATGAGGGGACTGGAGGCTAAAACATACGATGAATGGTTGCAGGAACTGGGCATGGCTAGTCTAGTGGAGAGAAGGACCAGGGGAGACATGATAGCAGTCTTCCAATACTTGAGGGGCTGCCACAGAGAGGAAGGGGTCAAGCTATTTTCCAAGGGACCTGAAGGCCAGACAAGGAATAATGGATGGAAACTGATCAAGGAGAGATTCAACCTAGAAATAAGGAGAAATTTTCTGACAGTGAGAACAATCAATCAATGGAACAGAAGTTGCCTTCGGAAGTTGTGGGAGCTTCATCACTGGAAGCTTTCAGGAAGAGGTTAGACTGCCATCTGTCAAAAATGGTCTAAGGTCTACTTAGGCAGAGGGTTGGACTAGATAATCTACAAGGTCCCTTCCAACTCTGTTATTCTGTGAAGTCTTTCAGGTTCCTAAGTGGAACTGCTACCTTTGTTATTCCTTTTTCGTCCACTAGATGGCAACAAATATGATATCTTTCCTTTTCAGAATAGCAGGTGTTTTATCAATCTCAAGATTGGGGTTTTTTCTTTCTTTTGTAGTTGTCAGGGGTGGAAGCAATTAAATTTCACAAGTTTCTTCTACATCTCCTCAGAAGTCACATTTGAGTTAACGTTCTCCTTGAGGATGGCTTCACGATTTTGGGTAGCCCAGTATAACCATCTCATCCGGATTCTTTTCTTATGTAAGTGATCTCATCAGAATTAAGAAGGAATAATTTATTTATTTATTTATTTATTTATTTATTTATTTTATTAATAATTAATAATAATTAAGTTATTATATATAAAAAAGGAAAATATATTGTGCTGTTAGCTGTCATGATTAATAGTAGCATTCTGTAACCTATTGTCTGTCTGGGAGAACTTCTAACAATATCACAGCATCAATAATTGGGGAGCCAAAGTTGCCAAAATAATGTCAAATAATCTCACTGTAGCTTGGGGAATCTCAAAACACTGTCCACATTTTTGTTATGCAACATACTATATTTTTTAAAAAAATATAAACCTTGCTATCATTCCGATTTACAGGAAAATTTGGAGTTTCCCACAGATAGACATTGATCTCTTAGATTAGTGTATCTTGGCAAGTTGAACTTCAGCTCGCAGAATTTGCAAGTTGGACTTCAACTCCCAGAATTGGCAAGTTGGACTTCAGCTCGCAGAATTGGCAAGTTGGACTTCAGCTCGCAGAATTAGCAAGTTGGACTTCAACTCCCAGAATTGGCAAGTTGGACTTCAGCTCCCAGAATTAGCAAAGTTGGACTTCAACTCCCAAAATTGGCAAGTTGGACTTCAGCTTGCAGAATTAGCAAAGTTGGACTTCAACTCCCAGAATTGGCAAGTTGGACTTCAGCTCCCAGAATTAGCAAGTTGGACTTCAACTCCCAGAATTGGCAAGTTGGACTTCAGCTCACAGAATTGGAAGTTGAACTTCATCTCCCAGAATTGGCAAGTTGGACTTCAGCTCACAGAATTGGAAGTTGAACTTCAGCTCACAGAATTGGCAAGTTGGACTTCAGCTCACAGAATTGGCAAGTTGGACTTCATCTCCCAGAATTTGCAAGTTGGACTTCAACTCCCAAAATTCTTCAGCCAGCATGCCTGGATGGGGGATTCTGGGAGTTGAAGTCCACACATTGTCAACTTGCCCAGGTGGAAAAACACTATCCTAGATTATTCAGAGAGGTTTAGTTGTCTCATGTATTTCAGGCTTCTAGAGAGATCAATGGAAGAGATCAACTAATGGAATAACTTGCCATCGGAAGTTGTGGGAGCTTCATCACTGGAAGCTTTCAAGAAAAGACTGGACTGCCCTCTGTCAGAAATGGTGTAGGGTCTCCTGCTTGGGTGGGTGGGGGAGAGTTGGACTAGATGACCTACAAGGTCCCTCCAACTCTGTTAATCTGATTGATTGATCAAGAAAGTGCATTAAATATATACATACTGTTGGACAGATGTTGACCATTTTCATCTTTATTGTAGGTTCTCTTGGAAGAGCAAAAACAATTGAGCAACCTACGTCAGCAACAGCCTTGGAGAGAAACCCATACCACCTTCGCTGCAATCTCTCTTCTGTTACTTCAGAAATGATCCAATGGTATCAGCAAGTTTCTGGGCAGACACCACGGTACCTTGGTGGAGCCTACCCAAGGTATGACGATGACATTGAAAATCCAAAGGGAAAATTGTATTTTTCTGAAGACAAGGCATCCAGCAGACTCGTGATCGATGAAGTCACCCTAGCAGACGCTGCTGTCTATTTCTGTGTTCTGAAAGACACACAGTGTCTCACGGACGGATCCGTTGCCTTCATGAACCTCCTTCAGAGACCCAACAGAGGAGGAGCTATTGCAAAGTGAGAGAGAGAGAGAGGACGAAGTAGAGAAGAACATCAGAAGACACTAAGCCATCCCTTTGTGATAGGATCAGATATGGTTGTGGCAGGAAGATTACACTAAACTAAATTTCCCCTCGAGTTGACTACTTCACCTGGTGATTCCACAGACACGTGGCTGTGGTTTTCCTGCCAATCATATGAAAGGGTTTCGCTGTGGTTTTCTTCTGCGCTGTATCGTGTTTACCCGAAAATAAGACATCCCCTGATAATAAGCCAAATCTGTCAGCGTTCCAGAAAAAAGTCTTCTTCAATTAAAAACTCTGAGGCAAGCATTTTCTCAAAGTTCTATTTACTAGAATAGATAAACTATTCTAGTAAATAGACTAGAATAGTAAACTAAGGAGCCTTGGTGGAGCAGCGGACTAAAGCGCTGTTAAATAGCACTTAGCTGCCAGCTGCCTGCAATTACTGCAAGTTCAAATCTCACCAGGCTCAAAGTTGACTCAGCCTTCCATCCTTCCGAGGTAGGTAAAATGAGGACCTGGATTGTAGGGGCAATAAGCTGACTTTGTATAAAAAAGAATACCGCTTAGTGGGGGCTGAAAGACCTACTAAGCAGGTATATACAAAAGTATGAAGACTATTGCTTAACGCATTGTAAGCCGCCCTGAGTCTCCGGAGAAGGGCGGCATATAAATCGAACCAATAAATAAATAAATAAATAAATAACTGGCACATCTTGGGAAAACCCAAATCTGAGAGTTCCAGGTTTTCTCTCAGTAAATCAAAACCCCAAAACCATCCCCTCACTCCTGAGTCAATCACATGCTCCAATCATCATCCATTCCATGTCGAGACAGCACTCCAACCACTCCTTCTCCAGATGTAGGCTCGTCCTGACCTTGATCGATGGGAAGAATGCTATTTTCTCTAAATACAAACCCCCAATTAAATCCCAACTCTCCTACTTGTTCTGTCCCCAACCAACGCACACACACCAACAGACGTTCAAGAGTTAAAGACCAAACCAGCTGACAAAATCCTTTTCTTTATGATAACGGAACTTGGCAACAACCTAGTGGCTGCCTGCCAAGAGTTTATTATTTACGAAGAGGAGAGATAACTTCTCCCCACTTCTGATACATCAAAAGAAACAGCTCAATAATTACAATCAAGTCCAGAGATAATCCAGCAAAGTCTTATAGCAAAAGTCCGGCAATGCAGAATGGCGTGGAAGTTTTCAGCTTTGTTCGTCACAAGGTTTGACTGGCCACCACGCTCCCTTTTATATCCTGTGGGGTGTGGTCCAGTGACTCAGCCTAATCTCGGGCACGCCTTTTCTTCTGTTGCACGCGCTTATCTCTGCGACGCTGGCGTGGATCCAGCCAAGACTCATTACCCTCATCACTGTCCATCTGTGGCTGTGTGGACGTGCTTGGCCCTGGCCCTATCTCTTGCTCTTCGGCGGACACCGAAGGCATTGCCAGAGAGGAGGGTCCTGGAGAGGGAGGCCTTGCCAACTCCTCTCCTTCACTCTTGGAGTCATCTCCTGCCGATGACACAGGCTCAGGTAACGGAGCCACAACATTACTTTCCCACACATGAGAAGGTGGCAGCTTGGAAGCTTCTGGCCTAATATGGCTTCCAAAGCTGACAAAATGTCCCTTGAAGCGACTACACACCCACCTCTATATAACTTGGATAAACCTACGATGTATAGGGAACTGCTGGACGGTGGGGGTAACCTTAGATCTAAAGCCAAATTACAAATACGGGGAATCAATTTGGACTGGTGGGCATATGCACAAATTCAAGCAAGATACCAAAAAGATAAAGCCAATGGGGGGATTTTTACTTCACCACAAGAGTTCAATAAAGCCCTCCTGGAAGGTGATAAGAAATGTATCATTAAGGTATATAATCTCCTCCTATCCCGATCTGTAGCTGAGGAAATAGTTAAAGACTCGATGATAGCCTGGGGGAGGAACTTCGGATATTCATTAGATCTGGAAAAATGGCAACAAATATGGAATAGAAATGTAAACATGACAATGGCAGTGTCTTTCAAAGAAAATCTATTTAAAATGTTATATAGATGGCATATATCACCAGCAAGAATCGCAACGATGTTCCCTGGAACCTCAGCAGAATTTTGGAAATGTAGGTCAGCCAGGGATACTTTTTACCACCAATGATGGACATGTCTACAAGCCCAAAACTATTGGAATAAGATAAAAAATTGGCTCATGGAGATTACAGGAGTCAGCTTTCAACTGAGACCAGAGGTTTACTTGTTAGGAATAAACCCTGGGGGCATAAGGAAAAAAAGACTGGTACCTTTTCATACATATTACCACTGCAGCTAGAATTGCATATGCACAATTTTGGAAAGGGAAAGAAGTACCATCAGATCAGATGATTATTAACAAAATTTTGTGGTGCGCAGAATGTGATAGACTAACATATATTCTTAAAGACAGACAAGAATCAATTTTCAATCAAAGTTGGGATAAATGGTACCAATGGATAGAAGTAAAAATGTCATGAGATAGATGTTAGGAAAACATGTAGCCTGTTCTGTCCCCAACCCCACGCACACACACCAACAGATGTTCAGGAGTTAAAGACCAAACCAGTCAGCAAAATCCTTTTCCTTATGATAACGGAACTTGGCAACAACCTAGTGGCTGCCTGACAAGAGTTTATTATTTACAAAGAGGAGAGATAACTTGTCCCCACTTCTGATACATCAAAGGAAAGCAGCTCAATAATTACGGAATTAATCAAGTCCAGAGATACTCCAGCAAAGTCTTAAAGCAAAAGTCCGGCAATGCAGAATGGCGTGGAAGCTTTCAGCTTTGTTCGTCACAAGGTTTGACTGGCCACCACGCTCCCTTTTATATCCTGTGGGGTGTGGTACAGTGACTCAGCCTAATCTCGGGCACGCCTTTTCTTCTGTTGCATGCGCTTATCTCTGCTACGCTGGCGTGGATCCAGCCAAGACTCATTACCCTCATCACTGTCCATCTATGGCTGTGTGGATGTGCTTGGCCCCGGCCCTATCTCTTGCCCTTCGGCGGACACCAAAGGCATTGCCAGAGAGGAGGGTCCTGGAGAGGGAGGCCTTGCCAACTCCTCCCCTTCACTCTCAGAGTCCTCTCCTGACGATGACACAGGCTTCGATAACGGAGCCACAACATAGCCTAGATATGTAAATAGCAAGCTAAATATAAATAAGGTAATATTAGATATAAGAAGACTAATAAGTGCAAAAAATAATATGATAAACCTGATCGAAGTTGTAGTATGATGATATATAATGCTACTTAGAAACTGTATATATGCGGGGGTTGAGTCAACCTCAGTCGTATGTATGTGATTTTGTTCTGTTATAGTCTTCTTTCTGTTTTTTGTTTTTAATTTATAATAAAATATTTTTTAAAAAATAAATAAACAAAGCTGACAAAATCAGGCTTTTGAGCGCATGCACTGAAATAAGCCCCCCTGAAAATAAGCCCTCCCCGAAAGTAAGCCCTCCCCAAAAATAAGCGCTCCCTGAAAATATTTAAACACATGTGCAGCTGGTCCCCGCCATTTCCTCTGGTTAGGGTTAGGGAGACAGAGCTGGAAATCAGGTAAGATGGCAAGAGGAGCCCTGTCTTGTTCCACGCATCCCAAAATAATAAGACCTCCCCGAAAATAAGGCCAAGCGCTTATTTCACAGTTCAAAAAAATATAAGACAGGGTCTTATTTTCAGGGAAACACAGCATTTTGGAATTGTCACAGTTGCCTTCTTCAGCTCTTGATTTCAAACCATCTCCCAGCCAAGTAAAACTGACTCTTTTTTACGTTTTTTTTTTTTTGGGGGGAGATCAGCCAAATTCTGCTTTCAGTACAGCAGAAAGACCAGCATTTCCCAGCAGTGACTCTTGAGATCCATGTATCTTGAGATCGTGGTCCAATTCCTCTGCAGTCGCTGTGATTTTTCTGGATGTTCCAGATTTTTCTCTCTCCTTGATTAGTTTCCAACAATGGAGGGAAACTAATTAAGGAGAGTAGTACAGATCTCCTGCGTGAGCAAGGTCCAAGGTCTGTTACTGTAAGTAAGTAAGAAGGAATTAAGGAGAAACTTCCTAACGGTGAGAACAATTTACCAGTGTTCTCCAGAAGTTGTAGGTGCTTCATCACTGGAGGTTTTTAAGAAGAGACTGGTGGTCACTTGTTTGAAATAAGATCTCCTGCTTGAGCAGGGGGTTGGATTAGAAGATCACCAAGATCTCTTCCGGCTCTATTCTGATTGATTGGATGACACTCTTAATGGTCTTAATGCTCTTAATGGTCCCACACTTAATGGTCCTAATGGTCTTTTTAGACCATGCTGATTGTCCATCCTTGGTTCTAGGGGGTGGGGAGAGAAATTGTCTCCCTCAGAACGGGCTCGCAATTTGGGTGTCCTCCTAGACTCACAGCTAAGATTAGAGCAACATCTGACAGCTGTGGCTAGGGGGACCTTTGCACAGGTTCACCTGGTGCACCAATTGCGACCCTACTTGGATCAGGAGGCTCTCCTCACAGTCACTCATGCCCTTGTCACCTCACGGTTAGATTATTGCAACGTGCTCTACATGGGGCTACCCTTGAAAAGTGTTCAGAGACTACAGTTGGTCCAGAACACAGCCGTGAGAACTGTCATGGGTGCACCTAGGTATACCCACATTACACCAATTCTCCGCGAGCTGCACTGGCTCTCTATTGGTCTCCGGTCACAATTCAAGGTGTTGGTTATTACCTTTAAAGCCCTACATGGCTCAGGGCCAGGGTATCTTTGAGACCACCTTCTACCGTGTCATGAGTGTTTCCAGGATTGCTGTGGCTACTTGCCTACTCACAAACAATATGGTTTTAATCAAGCCATCTCCTGTTTGCAATTACCTGCAAGCCTTCCCCGCCCTAGTTAATTGCAGGTTAACTCCCCATATAAGCAAGGACCTTTTCGCTTGCTACTTGGGCCTAAACCTGGTTTTAGGCCTAGATGCAAGAGCTCTTGCTGGAAGCTGCAAGCAGAGCTCAGTGCAACATCGCAGATGGGAGGAGAAGTACAGATAAGGACTCCGGATGCTGTTGCAGAGAAACTCCTACAGATGCTTGCCTTTTGCTGTTTTGAAGCACGCAAGCTATCATCGGGACTGATGTTGCTGGACATTCTTCCTCCCACACACTTCAAGCTATGTTTGCTGTTTGAACTGTTTTTACTTCAGGTGACTTTTAGCTGTGAAGTTTGTGCTGCCCCCCTTCTATTACCTCGATGATGTATCGACACCGAAGCTGCTTATCTTCATGTTAGCTTTATTCTCTTGTGAACTGTTTCGGAATTGTGGAGAGGGATCTAGGGAGATAGCCTTGCTTCACATAACCAAGATAAGACTTTGTTTTTAATGTGCTTTCTTAAAGACATAGTGCTTTTTAAACATTTTAAAGTAAATTATATTTTTACACAAGACGCCTCTGTCAGATTTATTTCAGTCTCAGTGTGTTTGCTCATGAGCTGGTTCACGGTCCGGGGTACCCCTCAACCCCATTCCCTAACATACCGCATAGCTCCCAGAGACCGATAAGATCCCACAGAGCTGGTCGCTACCGGATTGGGCGATCCAGTCCAAACCGGGAGCATTTCACCCCTGCCTTCCATATATTTATTATAATTATTATTACTTAGATGTTGGCGGGGGGGGGGCCTGATTATGAGCATAGCTGCGCTTAATAACAATTGAACAGACAGCACACCACAAAAGTCTCACTTTAGGATTCAGAAGTTTATTAGAATTTAAAGCATAGCCAACATAAAGCCTTTGCTATTCAGGCACTTACATCCCATTGCAACGAGGGTCAATCGGACAAGCAGTCAAAAGGAAGGGCTTGAGACCGATTGGCAACCTCCCATTCTTCAATCTTGCATTATATACCTTAAAACTGCAAAACGCATGGCATAGCAACAGGGGCAGTTTTCCATTCCTTTAACCTCAATGTTACAACACATTTTTACACGTACTTTAAGTGCATACTTCCTCTTTGCCAGTGAGGCGATTCAAATCATTTAATAACCGGTTTGCCCAGGGTTAGATTCATTGATGGGTTTCAAAATTTTTTGCTACCAGTTCTGTGGGTGTGGCTTGGTGGGCATGGCATGGGAAGGATACTGTAAAATCTCCATTCCCACCCCACTCCAGGGGAAGGATACTGTAAAAGCTCCATTCCTACCCCAATCCAGGGGAAGGTTACTGCAAAATCCCCATTTCCTCCCAATCAGCTGGGACTTGGGAGGCAGAGAATAGATGTGGGTGGGGCCAGTCAGAGATGGTTTTTACTGGTTCTCTGAACTATTTAAAATTTCCACTCCCGGTTCTCTGAACTACTCAAAATTTCCGCTACCGGTTCTCCAGAACTGGTCAGAACCTGCTGAAATCCACCCCTGGTCAAGTTGGCTGTTGTGGGAGGCCCAACCCCATCCTCCAGCTCCACTGCACATGTGGGATGATCTTCCCATCTGTTGTGACCCAGGCCCAAGTAGATATTATCAGATGCAATCAGTTCGAAAACAAACAGACTTTATTAGAACAGCTGAGAATTAACTCATTTTCAGCGTAGTCCAAACTAATTCAAAACAAATTCTTCATAACACAATTCTTCAGCCTTATCACCAACCTTGGTTTAATTAGACAAACTGCCAAAGGCTTTTCTTGGCAAAAGTTCAGGAGTGGAAGACACCGACAAGAAATAAATGCAGCAAGACAAGAAACAAATCTATCAATGTTGTTTTCCGACAAAGAGTCCAAGAACTGTTGCTGATCTTTTAAGCCTTATAATATCTTGGCCTTACTCCCAAGTTGTCTTCTTTGGTTGAGCTGCTCCTGCCTTCTGGCAGCTCTTCTCATGCATGCACTAGGTACAGGATCCTCCTGTTCCTCTGTCCTCTCTGCTGTCAGCTCTGGAGGCTCCGGAGTCCACACATCACTCCCAGATGGCCCTGGCCCCATTTCTGTCTCCAATGCAGAGCCCTCATCTGGGCCTTCCCCAGCCTCCAGGACTGGCCCATGTTCTTCCTCAGCCTCCTCACTGTCCGACTCCGCTGCCAGCTCCGCAGGCTGCTGGCGGACCACAACACCTTTTGGACAACCTGCCCCTGGGTGAACCAGTTGTTAAATTATCCCCCGCGATCAAAGTGGATCCTGGGCGCTGTGCTGCAATGGAGAAAGGGGTAATGGAGTGGCTGGCATGAGGGAAGGAGGAGCAAAAGTGGCTTTCTCCTTCCCTCGTACTGGCTGCTCTATTGCCCATTTCTCCATTGAAGCACAGTGCAGCACCCAGGATCCACTTTGATAGTGTGTGTGTGTGTGTGTGTATGTAATTTAACAACCAGTTCGCTTGAACTGGTGTGAACTGACTGAATCCCACCACAGCTCTTTGCCCACGACATCTTGCCAGTTAAGCAACTGCCAGTGTTGCAAAGCATAATTTTGACACACTTAAAGGTCAGAATTGCAGCACACGGATTAACACTGATTTTATTTTCGGGTCCTTCAAGCCCTAATAAACATGATAGTGCAGGTCAATAGGCCTTGATTAAAAATACAAAAGTGTACAATTTTTCTTCTTACAATGTATCTACAAACTATCCCCCATTCTAATGATCAGAGTTGACACAAAAGACCATTGCAGCCTTCAAACGACTTCTCCGTGGTCCAATGAACACAGAGAACAAAAACAGTTTCAAAAACAGTTTGAAATCGATGAAGATGACTTCTACAAAAATTATTAAATAAATTCTATGTGTTTTAAGAAGTGATATTCTGGAAAGGGTGCAGAGAAGAGCAACAAAGATGATTAGGGGACTGGAGGCTAAAACATATGAAGAACGGTTGCAGGAACTGGTCATGGCTAGTCTGGTGAAGAGAATCCCGTTTCTTCCATCTTTATGAGAGGCATGGCAATATAATGGTATAATATCTTTGATGGATAAACCTCCCACTCCTCTTCTTACAATTGCTCCTTTAAAGGAGAATATTTGTCACTTAAGGTTGAAATGAGGGGTCCTTGGCAGTGGTGGGTTGCTCCCGGTTCGCCCTGCTTCGGGCGAACTGGTAGTGGCAGCGGCGGAAGGCTCCGCCCACCTGCCCAGATGTCATCAAAACGCTCTGCACACGCCCAGGAGCTTCTGCGCATGTGCAGAAATGCCACGCGCTATCAAAGCAAGCAAGCGCACCCAAGCGCTATGAATGGAGCCATCTAGTTAGTTGGTTTCCTCTTTCAATAAGCTCATTATCTCTTAAGTGCCAGGATCTGCTGTGGGCTACTAAGAAAGACTGGGGGCTGCTTTCTGCCTCTAAAAACATGTTTCTCCATTTCTTCTTTCGGGGAAATATAATATTCTGCCTCTTTTTACTATTCCCCAAGATATTTCATTCTTCTAGGATTGGGAGGCTTCCCACACAGCACTCAGATCAGCATAGATCAACTTCAGACCAACAATCAAGTAAGCAATACCCCAGTCAAGAAACTGCTAAAGAGCCATTAGCCCAACCAAAGAATTCCTAAAACTGATCCCATCCACACATACAGGCAAGATATCAGAACATAAACTAACAGCAAACAGCACTCCTTACTAGCACCGATGATGTTACCTAGTGAGGGTCTGCAAGAAAACAAGCAAGCTCAGAGAGCACCAAGGACCCCACAATGGTTCCTTCAAACAGGTTTATGTTTACATTTTAGGGAAAGCTGGAATCTTTTTTCTTAATGCTTTCCGGACTGCTTCTTTAACTTCGTTGTTCCTAATGGTGTAAACGAATGGATTTAGCATGGGAGCCATTATTGTATATAGCCAAGAAACATATTTGATTGCCCTGAGAGAGGAATTCTTAACGGTAGGCCTTAAGTAGACAAAACACACTGACCCGTACAACATGCAGACCACAACCAGGTGGGAAGCACAGGTAGAAAAAGCCCTCTGCTGTTTGGTGGTTGAAGGCATCTGGAGAATGGTGGAGATGATGAAGAGGTAAGAAACAAGGGTGAAAAGCAGGGAGGACATAACCACAACTGCCGTAACTAGGAAGCAGAGGACTTCAACAAGATACGTATCACCTCCTGCAATCTTCAACACAGGTCCTGCATCACAAAAGAAATGATTGATAACTTTGGATGTGCAGTAGGGTAGGTTTGCAGTCAATACCCCCTGATAAAGAATGGAGAAAAGGCCTCCGAACCAGGCTGCCGTTGCCAGTTTCAAGCAAACTCCAGAAGTCATGATTGTGGCGTATCTCAAAGGATGGCAGATGGCTAAATATCTGTCCAAGGATATCAAGGTGATGATGAAATATTCTGTAGTGCCAAACAGAAAATAAAAGAACATTTGTGTCATGCAGCAGTTGAAACAGATGGAATTCTTTCCAGAGAGATAGTTGACCAACAGTTTAGGAATGAAAGCGGTGGTGTGTCCGATATCAATGCAAGAAAGGTTGCTAAGAAAGAAATACATGGGTTTCTGGAGATGAGGGTCCACAACTACCATGACAATGATGAGTCCGTTGCCCATCAGACACAAAAGATAGAGCAGAGAGACACAAGCAAATATCGTATTTTCCATTCCCCAAACACTTGGGAATCCGACAAGAATAAATTCAGTCGCTCTGGTACAGTTGGTCAAATTCATGGTTTCCCCTCCTGTTACGAAAAGAGAAAATATGGAATCCCCATTGAATCAAGATTTGTCTCATTTCTAAAGACACTTTTCATGCAGATATAGATGAATAGAATTGGAAGGGGCCTTGTAGGTCACCCCACCCACCATTTCTGACAGATGACAGTCCAGTCTCTTCTTGAAAGCTTCCAGTGATGAAGCTCCCACAACTTCTGAAGGCAACTCCGGTTCCATGGGTTGATTGTTCTCACTGTCAGAAAATTTCTCTTTATTTCTAGTTTGAATCTCTCCTTGATCAGTTTCCAGCCATGTCTGACCTTTGGGTGCTTTGGAAAATAGTTTGACCCCTTCCTCTCTGTGGCAGCCCCTCAAATATTAGAACACTGCTATCATGTCTCCCCTGGTCCTTCTCTTCACTAGACTAACCATGCCCAGTTCCTGCAACCGTTCATTGTATGTTTTAGCCTCCAGTCTCCTAATCATCCTGGTTGCTCTTCTCTGCACTCTTTCTAGAGTCTCAACATTTTTTATAGTGTGGTGACCAAAATATTTTCTATAGTGTGATGACCAAATAGAAATAATGTATTTTCATATAAATATTTGAAGATCTGTTATGACTTCTAATGGCCTATCACTAGAATCCTGCAACATGAGAGGCCAAAACCAAATCTGAAATGTGCCACTGTTGGAAAATCAAAGCTCGTTTGAGGATTCTTAAAAGCACCATGACATACCAAGGAGCCTTGGTAGTACAGTGGTTTAATGCACCCTGTAATTAACACAGCTGCCTGCAATTTCTGCAGGTTCGAATCTTACCAGGCTCAAGGTTGACTGAGCCTTCCATCCTTTCTAAGGTAGGTTAAATGAGGACCCAGTTTGTGGGGGCAATAAGCTGACTTTGTATAAATATTCAAAAGTATGAAGGCTATTGCTTAACGCATTGTAAGCCGCCCTGAGTCTCCGGAGAAGGGCGGCATATAAATCAAATAAAAATTAAAAAAATAAATAAATTTGGAAGTGGTCATCTAGAGTTAAAACATTCCAGTAAGGAACTAAAAGTTTGTTCTCTGCAACATTTTAATTTTCATTCCTTGTTTGGAGATCTGAATAAATAAATAATTAGAGAAACGTCAATGCCAAGATGTTTCTTGGTGTGGCCATTTGGGAGAGGATGTGTGTCCATGCTAGGAAATCACAGTCACATCTGCAGTGAAATTCTTTTCCATATGCTGTATAATAAATTGACTTAAAAAAAATATTTCCACACTTACCTTGTCTTGTTCTTTCCTTCTTTTACCTGCCTTGTCTTCTCCAAGGGCCTTTTATTTTGTCTCTCTATCCATTCATCAAGACAGTGTTTCGAAGAATCATACAAAATGCCACGGCGTATGTTGAGGAAAAAGGATAGACGTCTTGAGATATATTTTCCTTAACCTTTAAAGAACATATAGCAACTTAGAATGTTTATTTATATCTTGCGTAAGAGACGTGGGAGACAGTCTCTAAGGAGAATTGTCTTTAATTTCCCATGAGCATCCATGCACTATAGGTAAAATATATTGAAGATTGATATTGTTGGACCAAATTTTAAGTGCTCTGCAAGAAAGGAGGTCCTCTTGAGGTAATCCCCCCCCCCAAAAAAAAATTAACTCTGAAATTTTTGTATAGTTCATCACATTTTTTCAAGGGCGAAATGCAGTGGTGAAATGTAAAATTTGTTACTACCGATTCTGTGGGCGTGGCTTGGTGGTGGGGGGTGGGAGTGGCCAACCTTTTTTTTTTAACTTTTAAAACCATTTTTTCTACAACCTCTTTGGCTGAAGAAGTTGTAAAAAAATGCCTTTAAAGCCTCTGACGATCCCAGCTGACTTGCCTGATCAGCAGAGGGTTTCTTTTTCTTTTTTTTTAAAGCCTCTGACGATCCCAGCTGACTTGCCTGATCGGCAGAGGCTTTTTTTCCTTTTAAAAACATTTTTTCTATAACCTCTTCAGCTGAAGAGGTTGTAGAAAAAATGCTTTTAAAAGCTTCTGATGATCCCAGCTGAGCCGCGCGATCATCAGAGGCTTTTTTTTTTTTTTACTTTGAAAAGCATTTTTTCGGCCAAAGAGGTTGTAGATAAAATGCTTTTAAAAATTAAAAAGAAAAAAGCCTCTGATGATTGCGCGGCTCAGCTGGGCAATGGGGAGGGGGGGCAGGGATTTTTGCTACCGGTTCTCTGAACCACCCGCCTCCGGATCAGGCGATTTGGTCCGAACCGGGAGCATTTCACTGCTGGCAAAATGAGAAAATAATCAAACCTTTCCTGATGCAGGGCTTCATTTTCTTCAAAAGTCTGTGATAACATCTCTAGAATAATAACAGAATAACAGAGTTGGAAGGGACCTTGGAGGTCTTCTAGTCCAACCTCCTGCTCAAGCAAGAAACCCCATAACCTTTTTGTTGCCGTATGCTGAAAGCCCATAATGCAATGCGTGCATGCCCCCTGCCCCCTACATATGCCACCCCCCATGCATGCACACGCATGCCCTATGTGTGCCCCGCCTCTGCGCGTGGAAACCCCTGCACTCCCCCACATGCACATGCATCTCCTGCATGTGCCCCACCTCAGTGGTGGGTTCCTCCTGGTTCGGTCCGGTTCGGCCGAGCCGGTAGCGGTGACGATATGATGTCACCGAACCGGTTCTCCCCCTCCGCCCTCCCACCCCCCCACGTTATTCTTACCTTTTATTTGGTCCCACCCCCAATCTATTGCTGCCTCCTGAGTCCCAGCTGATGACTAGAGGGAAAAAACCTGTTTAAACTCTTGCCGCGGGGCTTCAAAGGGCCGTCCTACAGCTGATCGGTGTTAAAAGCAAACAAATTAGTCGGGTCGTAAGTGCGAGGACTGGTCGTAAGTGTGAGGACCATCCAGAAATGACTCTGACCAGCTAGCCATGCACACCAGTCACGTGACCTCCAAGCCACACCCACAAAATAAGCCACGCCCACAGAACCGGTAGTAAAAAAAATTAGAACCCACCCCTGCCCCACCCCCATGCATGCAGAGACCTGAAAACCAGCTGGCCTGTGGGAAGCGCATGCACATGCCCACTGCAGCTGAGCTAGGGTAATGGGTCGTGGGCCCACAGAGAGGGCTCTGCGTGCCACCTGTGGCACGCATGCCATAATGTGAGAGAGAAAAATTCCCTCTCAGTTGCTGTGCCTATTAATGACCTTTGCCTTAGATAATTGAATAAGCCAATCAGAGCGTAGCTCCTAGTTTTGAATCTCCCGGGCTTTTCCAACTGCCACTGAGACAGTATATAAAGAGCTGCCAGCCAGCAGGCAACTCAGTTCGGGGTCAAAGGCAGAGCTGAAGTCACTAAAGCCTCCTCCTTCTGAGGAAGAAAGACCCGGACTCCAATCGCACAGAGCGATGGCAGAAAAAGCTGACCGGACACTGCAAAAAGGAAACCGACTACTGATGTTCTTTTAATAGACTTTGTTTTATTGATGTAAATGAAAACAGTTTAGTTTAAACTCTTCTTCTTCTTTTTTTAAATAATCTTTATTTATTTATTTATTTATTTTTAAATTTGTATACCGCCCTTCTCCCTGAGGACTCAGGGCGGTGAACAGCCAAGTAAAAACATAAACTACAAACATTAAAATACAATTAAAAAGATATATATAAATTTGGCCCCATGATTAAAGCAATAACAGACAATTAAAAACATTTTGAAAAGTGTTAGGCCAGCCCGGTTTGTTGGAAAAAGAAGGTTTTAAGGGCACGGCGGAAGGCACCGAGGTCTTGGATTCTCCTTATCTCTGGGGGCAGCTGATTCCAGAGGGTAGATATGTAAATATTATTAAATATTTACAATAAAATTAACACACAATAATGGCTGAAAAGCAATATAGGAAGCGAAATATAGAAACACATAAACACAGGACTAAAACCAAACAACAAACATGACTAACCGAGAGTTAAACTCACTCTCCAATTAATATTAACTAATATTATCCTAGCCAAACATTTCAATGCAATCAAGTTCTTTTTACTATCTACATAAACAATTGGTCTGTTTTTAACTCTTCTGAGACTTGTCTGTTTGGTGAATTGTAAAGAGATAAGGTTGCGGTCTACCAACCCTCCGTAACACATAGGTTCGTCATCACAGCCCTATAGCGTTTCAGACAAAATGGTTGTCCAATCTCTTCGTAAAAACTTCCAGTGTTGGAGCATTCACAGCTTCTGGAGGCAAGTAGTTCCACTGGTTAATTGTTCTAACTGTCAGGAAATTTCTCCTTAGTTCTAGGTTGCTTCTCTCCTTGATTAGATTCCACCCATTGCTTCTTGTCCTGCCTTCAGGTGCTTTGGAGAATAGGCTGATTTCCTCTTCTTTGCGGCAGCCCCTGAGATATTGGAACACTGCTATCATGTCTCCCTAGTCCTTCTTTTCATTAAACTAGACATACCCAGTTCCTGCAACCGTTCTTTATATATTCCAACCTCCAGCCCCCTAATCACCTTTGTTGCTCTTCTCTGTACTTTTTCGAGAGGTATTTATCTCTCAACTCCAGGGGTGGTTCTAATTTTTTTTACTGCCCAGTTCTGGGGGCGTGGCTTATTTTGTGGGCGTGGTTTGATGGTCATGTGACAATTCTTTAGGATTTAGCAGAGGTACTGGTCTACCAGGCTTTTAACTGCTTGCAGAGCTGTACCGGTCTAGTCATTTGTTTTTGAAGGCACCGGTCTACTCATTTGTTTTTGGAGGCACCGGTCTACTCATTTGTTTTTGGAGGCACCGGTCTACTCATTTGTTTTTGGAGGCACCGGTCTACTCATTTGTTTTTGGAGGCACCAGTCTACCCATTTTTTGAGCACACTGGTCTACCACCACACTGCCTTTTAACACTGAGGGCGGCCCTTTGAAGCCCCACGGCAAGAGTTTAAACAGTTTTTTTCCTTCTGGCCAATCAGCGAATAGATTGGGGGCGGGGCCAAATAAAAGGTAAGAATAACACCGGG